CATTAGTCTTCACTTAGACTGAGTTAAGAGTCTTGTGACAAATTATAATAGGACATTATAGCCATAAAAAATAAAAGTACTTGGATACTTAAGTACATTTGAAGGCAAATACTTTTGTACTTTTACTCAAGTGAATGTTTAAAGGCAGCACTTTTACTTTTACTTGAGTAATATTTTAACTTGACTTTTTAAAAGTAAGATATTTGACTTTTTAACTTTTTATTTTACTTGAGTAATATTGAGTATCTTTACTTTTACTCAAGTACATGGTATGTGTACTTCGTCCACCACTGTCCGGTGGGAAGAAAACCGGAAGTGTCGCTTTTAATCATAGGAGAGTCGCGAATGCGATGGCGTATTGTTGTGTTTAATGTAGAAATTAGTTATTCTAAAAATTAACATACATTTCTTTCATACTTTAGACTATATACAGTGAAATTCATTTATAAATAAAACATTTTTTTTATATATAATTCAGAACGGAAAAAAAGAAGCAGGAACGAACTATATACATACCCTATATTGGATATTAACATCCAATAGTGTAAATCGCGGCAGGAACTTCAGGTTGGTAGTCCAAGCCAAAGCCCGTCTACGGAAAGCCTGGCCACTCCCTATTAAGTCCTATTGTACCGAATGTTGGTTGTAGTTCCACCAGAGTTCCACTGGGGGCGATCGTCCGAGTGCAAAATGAATGGGAGTCAATGGGGCTAGACGGCTAAATTTGTCTCTTTTACCCGATTGTCATTGAGAAATCTCAGATTTGAATGTAGGTTCTGCAAGTTCAATATGGGTTATAGGTCGAAAGTTGAATGAACGAGTGCTTATGTCCTTTCGATTTCTTACAGGTTGAGTTGTTGTTGCCCATAACACGCTAGCATTTTGCTAATGGACGCTGATTGGTCAGTGAAGGACTGATTACGACCAGAGACACCGCTTGATGGCATCGTGGCATATACGATATGCAGTGCAAATAGTAAATATAAGATACAGTGAGTAATAGTAAATAGTTTAGTCAATAAAATAAACAAACAGTATACAGCAAATAAAATAGTAATGAAAAGGCTATATAAAAATATAGGCTATATAAAATAAAATGACACAACCCTGTCTATTTTTGTTAAATTTCAGTTTTATTCATCAGTAAGAGACATTATAACAGTATAAGTAGCCTAAAAGGTATAATAAGTTATACAAGACAATAAATAAAGTAAACCATTCAGACACAGCAGGATACAACGTTAAAATAGCCAAAATATAAAGTTATGAAACTTCACTTTGCCCTCAGCCAAAACGACTTGCCAGGGAACAAATGATACGATTAATGATACCAAAGATCGCCCGTTAGATATACACAAGACGAATTATATCTCATGTTTAACCAAGTTAGAGAGAGACATCAGAGCCGGCGGCGAACGTCACAAGCACTAGCCGAGGAAAGGCTGTTCCAGGCGGGGTGCAGAGCGCTGAGACCCGGTGAAAGACTGGTCCTCACAACTCCGAAAACGTCAGATCAAACTTTTAAATAGGCGCTATCTTTATAAATAAACCACAGATTTGAGCTTTAAACAACTACATTGTCGACTGAAAAACTATTAAAACTACATTTCGTGACACAATAACAGTAGTATTTTTAAATTTCGCGGCTTCTCTCGTCTGTCTATGCGCGAAAGCACCAGTGAATGAAGGATTGCCGTAAAGCAGGTTTCTGGTCGTACGATGTGTATGACGTCATTGACATTTTAATAGACTTTTTAAAGCAAATAAGTGACTCTAAAAAATCTAACACCCAGTAATGTGTAATTTTGTTGCATCTTCTTTCAAATACAACATTCAAATTACTAGACAAAAAATTATATCCTGAGAAAAGTGGATTTTTAGGGGTATTGCTCCATAGACCTCCATTCATTCTGCACTCCGCCTGTGAGCGCCCTCATATGGATCTAGAGTGGAACTGCAACCAGTTCAGAACCCGGAAGTTTAATGTGAGTGGGAGTTCTCCCCATATTAGACATTAGGCTTGTTTGAGATGAGCAAAATCTGCGCAGAACCGATCACCGGTGATCAGCGCGAGATGCATGCCGGTTAGAAATGTGTCCGAGTGCGGTCCGCCTTGCTCTGATGTCATGCTGACGTGTGTCAAAAAACTCTCGCGACCGCAAGGTGCACGTGTCGGATTCTGCAGTCGCGCGCAGTTGCTCTCCACCGACTGCGCTGATCAAAAGCATGATGGGAAACGACTTGCTGACGGCACAGCTTAATGCTCATTGGTTTAAACAACCGTGATGTATTGTTCTCTTTTAAAATGTTTGATTTTAAAACTCTGATATCATGTTTTATGTGTATGTGGATATCCCCAAACTCTCTGACAGTGCGATCTATGTGATGTAATTAAAAAAAAAATAATTAAAAATAAAAACACATATCTGTAAAGAAAAAAATTATTCATAAACATATAGGCCTATTTAAAATGGAATTAAATAAGTACTTTGGGTGTCTTGTTCATTATATTTATTTTCATATTCAAGCAACAAAACTTAAAATACATCCAGTTTATTAGCAACACCGTGCACGGGTGTGAATCCCGCGATATCCGCCTTTGATCTCACAGGTGTCAGATCCACTGCGAGAAGAGCGATCTGTCCGGCTTGCCTGCGCTTTTTTCACTCCTCCTCTCACTGCAGCCGCCTACTCTCGACTACATTTCAGGCGAGGCAAGGCGCATCTCAAACAAGCCTATTCTCTGTCCAAGCATTGTTGTCTATCTGTACTTCCGGGGTTCTTCCCACCGGAGCCTCGCTTTCGATTTCAAAATGGCGGCAGCGTGAAATCAGCGTATTGCACCGCGAGGAGGCGAGGATCGAGGAGTGAGGAGGCTTCCAGAGGAGCTATGAGCGAGGAGACAGGTGTACCCTTTGCGGAAGAGTTTTATCGACTAAACATGATGCACTTATCAATTCTCCTCCCCCTTCACATCTGTCACAATCATTTGAATTTATACTTTACTTTTGTAGTTTACATAAACCACACAACTCACATATTTCAAGGTATCTTGCTTTATTATTATTTATTATGAATTTCTTAAATAAACAACATAAGGGCAGATCCTTTGAGCACTGCTGATGACGCAGTGAAGTGACGCTCGAGTGATCAAGTATTCCAATGTATAAAAAAGCTTTCATTCAATTCCTCCGTCCTCATTTTTTTCCTTGCAGCCTTCCCTCGCGTCCTACAGGGGGTGGAGCTGAGAGGCGAGGAAAGGAAACGATGCACAAATAAGAAATGAGAAGCACCCTCTATTATGCTGGTGAGCTCACTATATAGTGCTCTACTCCCTACCCCCTACATAGGGGTTAGGGAGTAGTGGTTTGAGTGGAGATTTCGGACACAGCCTATGATATGTATCAGGGGCGGATCTACAGGGGGGCAAGGGGGGGCAGGTGCCCCCCCTCTCTAGAGCCTTGCCCCCCCTGCTGCCCCCCTAACTTTGATGATCCAAAAACTGTACTTGTAAAAACAACCTGCCACTATGTCCACAAGCTTCTCAAAACAGTGAACTAAACAATACATTTACCAAAAGTGAACAATTTAATTTTTAATTTTAAATATATTATTAGCCCCTCCCCCCTGCGTCCCTGATTCAAACGTGCAGAGCGGCGTTGGCGGCTCACACACACACACAGCGAGTCTGCTGCGGTGAGGTGGCCCTGCAACCCGACTGGAGAGAGTGAGCTTCCCCAGAGCCTCTGAAGGTGAAGTGAGTTTCCCCAGGTGTAGTTTAAACACACACGTTTAACTTAAAGTTACATTTGTAATGAATGTATTGTATTCTAAAGACGATTCAGCATCAGCAAAAACAGCGCGTCTATTACGTTAGCCAAAATCAGCGGTCAATTCGCTCCCTCGTGATTTGTAAGAGCACTCTTCCCTTTGATTAGCCTAATTTTGATTTTAGTAAAGACAAGAACAGCTTAAGGCGAGACACAAAAACATCGGGGTTTTTTTCACTGGTTAATTTGAAGATTTTGGGCTATTTGTCTTCAATAACATGTCTTCTTTCAGACTTGTGGTGAAATTTTTTTTCCAAAAAAACACATTTAGGACTTTATTTTACTACACTTTGTCTATTTGCGTCAGTATTCTCCTAAATTCAACAGAAGTTGTCGTTCTAAATCAACATGTTGCTCCGCGATCGCTGCATGTCAATGTCATCACATACATCTCTGTTGGAAAGCTCTCTCTCCTGTACATTGTTGTCGTATCCAAATATGGTCATTTCCTTTTAATCAGCAACCAATCGTGAAAGTACAATGGGCATTTAACTCTAAAACCGAAATCTCATTGGCTGATGTCAATTTCTGACAACGTGATTCGTTCAGATGCATCACGTGACGTGCTCTGACATTTAGATATGCGTTTTTGACTGTTTTTCTGTTCAGTTGAAGGCCATAAATGCTGTGATTAAGGTGGTTTGTATTGTTGTTGCTAATGATTTGGTAAGATATTGTGTCTGTAAATAGTTGTTTCCACTAAAAAAAGTATGAATTTTTACATTACAAATCTTTAAATGCTGTTTTCTCAAAATTAGTTTTTTGTCATTCTCCAGTACAAACATCTCAGCCTGTGTAGCACCTATGTACACCAAACTTTCCAGTTATACACTTAGCAGTATTCTGAAGATATTTTCAGAGGGATTTGTTAATAAATCATTCCTAAAAACCTTTGTAGTGTGTAAGGGCATGATTAAACAATAACGTTAATCATTTAATAATGATTAAAAGTGTTTTTGTGTTTGTTTTGTTAAAGCAATTCACATATAGGGATTCCCATGTACCGTCTACCCCTGCCACCCTGCCAAGACCTCTTGCCACCCCTTTGCCCCCCCATATAAAATTTTCTAGATCCGCCACTGATATGTATGAACCCAAAAGAAGGTAAATCCGTAGAAACACTTTAGACGTGACGTCACCCCGTCTCTGAGACGTTGACGTCAGGAGCGCGCATGCGTCAGCGCCGTCGGTAGATCCGTTCAATTCCGCAAGGTCGATCTCAGCCCCGCTAGCTGACAAACATGATGTCCCTTGCTGCTCGTTCGGGGACGTTTTCCCCTTACTTACAAGCTACAAATTATGTCGTGGCGGGTCCACTAAAGCCTCTCATACCCGGCGTCGTCGTGAAGACCGATAAAATGTTGATGGACACGAAGAAACCGTTCCTGTGCCGCGAGTCCTTGTCTGGGCAGAGCGCTAAGAGCGGCCTCGCCGTATCCATCAGCCTCAACGGTGAGTCTCACTGCACGGTTTAGTGAAATCGAGAGTCCCGGTCTCATCGTAGCGCGAGGAGGTCGTGCAGCGGGTGCTCGCTCGCTCAAGAGCACGAGCACGATTAAATCACATATGTTGAATGTGTATTGTGAAATAGTTTAATGTTTTGTAGTGTTGTACGCAGGTAATGCTGGATTTGTATTTTTATTCATTTGTGATTAATGTGTACTGTATACCGAAAAACATTAGCTCACTTGCTACATCAGTTAGCTTGACTGAGGCCTCGCTAATGTCCTTGCTGTTACCTAAGTTAGTTAGAAAATCAGCCTGTGTCTTTTGTGGTAAAATAACTTTATTGCCATTTCAAAGTCCTTTATGATCGGCTTACGATTACATGGTAAAATAAATGCCAGGATATTGTAGAATTTAGGATAAATCCAGGTAATAGTTTCTTGCTAGTAAGATAGGCTTACTGTTACGTGTTGCTGACGTAGAAGATAAACTAGTTTGCTCTTATAGAAGCAGTGTTTTAATGTTATTTATTACAGCAGTTTCGGAGTGAGCTGATAAGAGACCAGTAACTTAGTTGAAGAATCCTAAACATGATCAAGAGTTTTCAACACTTACAGACCCAGGGACCCCCGGCCATGACAAGCTAAACAGCCCTGGTGTAAACTAGCAAATTTACAACAACTTTGATTACCAATATGAGTTAGGCTATACAATGTGTAGCAGATCATTAGTTGAAACTAGAAAATAATATAAACATTTTATTAATGTCTTTGGATGTTTTATACAGCATAATATTAAGGCCACATTGAATATCTGATTGATTTACAGATAATGTTGTGTATAAATATATCAAATGAGTTTTCCCCAATGGGTTGTTGATATAGAGAGCAGGTCAGTTTTAATTCCTTTGTGTATACGGATATATAATCTAAATTTGAAATGAGATGCATGCTGTTTGACATGTAATATTAAACATTTACTCAATTTAGAAAATGTGCAGATTTGGTAATTAGTGCCAATATAAATGCCGTAAATGCTGTCATTAAATGCTTATGATCTAAAACTGGCCAAATATGATATGACATTGCGGCCTGGTCAATATAGTGTTCTGTCACTACATTTCATGTCATTTGATTATTTTTCATTATTTTTTTAGCTCGTTCTTCAGTCCGTTTCGCCCACACAGACATCAAGATCCCTGATTTCTCTGACTATCGCCGACCTGAGGTTTTGGACTCAAAGAAGTCCTCACAAGAGAGTGGTGATGTCCGGCGGGCCTTCTCCTATCTGGTCACAGGTTCCACTGCTGTGATTGGAGTCTATACAGCCAAGACAGTTGTCACACAGTTTATCTCCTCCATGAGTGCCTCAGCTGACGTGTTGGCTCTGTCCAAGATTGAAGTCAAGCTATCAGACATCCCTGAGGGTAAGAACATGACCTTCAAATGGAGAGGGAAGCCCCTGTTTGTGCGCCACAGAACAGAAAAAGAGATTGCAACTGAAGCAGATGTCAATCTCTCAGAGCTCCGGGACCCCCAGCACGACAAAGACCGTGTTCAGAACCCGACCTGGGTTATTGTCATCGGTGTGTGCACCCATCTGGGCTGTGTGCCCATTGCTAATGCTGGTGACTATGGTGGCTATTACTGCCCATGCCACGGCTCTCATTACGACGCATCTGGTCGCATTAGGAAAGGCCCTGCTCCACTCAATCTGGAGGTGCCCTTCTACGAGTTCCCAGACGATGATACAGTGATTGTAGGATAAAGGACTATACTATAATACTATAATCAACGATGAACATGCGCTTTACTTGTTTGATTTTTGTCTAGTTTCAGACACATTATCTGCATTGACTCGATGGGTAACAAAGGTTAATTGTAAGTAATAAAGTGTATTTTATCTGATGGAAACCTCACTCAGCTCTTATTTATTCAGTCTCAATATACGGCATCACATGGGTTGTTTAATTTTACGCATTGCAGGTTTTTCAGATAAGGAACAAATTAGATCTTTACATTGCCATAACGCACAATTGTTCAAGTGATAAAGACAGAAACTGTAGAAAGTCAGGTAGGTGATGTTTGCAGAGTGTAGGTGAACAAAAAATTAGCAATTTATAATACACAAGCAATGAGACTTCACTTCACTGATATTTTCTTTTGTTATAATCAGTGATAAAGTGACAACTGTTTGATTGTGGCTTGGTTTCAGTGAAAGCTGATGAGAATAGCAAAAAATTTGAAATGTGTAAGTGTTAAAAATGCTCTTTCTGATACGTGAATAAACAGAACTATAAGGTGTATTTAATGTGTACAGAGATATGAACTAAATAAAACGGTCTGATCACTGTATGGTGTCATGTGCAGTTTCTTCTCTATTGAGAGAAGCTTTGTAAATGAACTAAAGCAAAATATATTTAGGGAAATATAGAAATATCAGATGTGGTTCCCTGGTCTTCTAGATAAATCTGTAGCAAAATAAATACATTATAAATCGGCCATTAAAACAAATCATTTTGTTTAACTTGCAGTGCATCTTATATTTGAATGCATTTTCAACAACATGAATGTTGCAATAGCAAGTGGAGTAATTGTAAGGAAATCTTAGTTACAATGAACAATTGATTTAAGCTACCAAAAACACTTCTATTCTGTAAAAGGTAATAGCTTGTTGTTCATTAATCAAGATCATGTGGTGCTCGTGGTTCAAAATGTACATCCAGATTTCCCAGGGGAAAGTCAAAAAATGGTTAACATGAACAGTAGCGATTAAGAAAGTAAAAACTGGCCAACAGGTCTGGAATTCTCACATTTTATTGAATAACAACCAGCTCTAAGATAAGTACTTGATGTCTGTAGATGTGGCTATAGGGAGATGGTATACATAATGTCTATGAGCTTCACACTTCAGAGATAAACTAATGAGCTATTTGATCATTTGGTTACTTTGTGAATAGTTACATAATGGTACATAATCTGATGTACAAATCAACAAATGTTTTGGTGTATGTGGATACATTTAGAAACACAGTTTTCACGTTGTAGTGTGGACTGTGAAAACGAATTACGTATTTAAAAACGATGACGATAAGTTTAGTCATGTGATGCATATTGAATCCATAGATATTCATGTTTACACCGTTATTGTGCCTGTAATGTGCTATTCACTTTCAAACAGTTGCTAAAATATGTTACATTGCTCACTCTTCATATCACAGTCCTGCAAGATGATAGAAAATTAACTCACATTTGCAATAGACAAATTGCTTGTCCTGCAGCAAAACATGAGGGCAGTTGCGTTTTAGACCAAACATATAATGATGAGTGAGTGTGACCTGGACGCATCAGTGAATGGTGAGATATTTTGCTAAGTAAAATGATCCTGCCAGAAGAATTGTGTGATAACTTGATTATGTCTTGTTCTGTCTGTATCATCTCAGTGAGCTTTTATGAGGGTTTACGCATGCGCTCTAAGGTGAATGTAGCGTTTTCTGACGTTTCAGTGTGGATGAGAAACTTTTGGAAAACGCTTGAAAACGCTAGTGTGGACGGAGAGCGTTTTGAAACGAAACCTCCGTTTTCAAATCTATCCGGATTAATGTAGGTTTAGCCTTAGAAACTTTCCAGATAAAGTAAATAGTAGTATACTAAGCACAATGACAGGTAAACAGTAGCATTCCTCTCATTCAGATATTATTTGAATAGATGTTTCAGGGCCATATTATCATATATAGTAGCTTTTCTCCTTGGGTGCATTTCGATTTGAATGTCTCTCAGGTCTGAGAAAGACAGACATGTCTGCAGGTTAATAAAGTCGATATGCTTCTAAGCTGGGCTACAATTAAGGCATGTTGATGCCACTTGACACAGGCACAAAGCATCTGATTTATTTGAAACATTGTGTATAACCTAACAAATGGCATGCTTAGGTATGCCTTTTACTATTGCTGTTCTAATACTATTCTAGCCAGTCTTTTAAAAATGTTGACCTTTTCTCTGAATGTGTCTAGATAGCTTCCCTGAACATTCATTGATTTCACTTTTGAACGCAGGCTTTGGGTATTTTAATACATTTAATGCACTGGATTGCCATATTCTCTGCCTTCCAGAGCATCCACCACTTATATGCAACCTGCTCAGTCGTCCTGGAGTCCTCAGCTCTTGCCAGGTCTTCCTGCCAGCAGCTTGTCGGACATTCATGCCTCACTGATAGAATGATGATATCCCAGGGTTGTCAGGGTACCATTGTGTATTAGCTGGAAATCACAGAGATCCCTGGCTCCAACATATGTGTTTAGCATCCAACAGAAATATCTTTATTTGGGCTAATTTCTGGGCAAAAATTTGCTCGGAAATGCACATTTCTCAAATTCAGCTCAGGGTTCATCAGTCACTCTGGGCTGATTAAGACCCCTGTATGAAAGACAAACTCAAGTTTAATGAGTGTTTTTTTTTTTTTTTAGCATAGGAGACTGAGGTATAACACATTGTTTATTTCGTCACTTCATTATTTTATTTTATTTATTTTATTCTGACTTGTCTCAATTGGATTCCACTAGTTTAAGATGCACATCTGCCTGTACGATGGACTAGTTGCACAGGTTGGCGTGTTTCTATTTCCGTTTTATTGAGTGTACGCTTGTACACTTCCTGTCCCGAGATACAAGAGAAGATATGAAGGATGGCGCTGTTTTACACAAGATGCCTCCAAGACCTACCGAAGATTACCATCAGCGATGTACACCGGCTAGTACAAGCGGCAAGCTCAGCCCCGAGGAGCAAAAGGGAAAAAGGGTTCAAGATGTATATATCTAGTTACATCGACAACTATGAAGGTAAGTTATACAACAGCTAGCTGACTGGCAAGCTAGCTAACATTAGCTCTAGTTAACGTTACTGTCTAACTTTGACAATTTGACAGGCTATTTGATCCAGTGTAGTGTTTTGATGATGTACGATGTATGCATAACATAAATGATGTCCAATTCCCCACAGTTTCAAACAAAGATTCATCAGAGAGAGAGTGTCAGGGCTACCTGTTACAGGTCGATGAGAAAGAGCGAGAAGCCTCACGACCTCAGAGTAGGGAGTAGAAATAAGAAGTGTTCATCAGTTCAAAGCCTCAATCAGGTTAAAGGTACAATATGTAAGAATTTTGTAATAAAATATCCAAAAATCACTTGCACAGTGTGATATATTTCCTGCAGTTGTGTACTTACAATATCCCAAAAGTCTCCAAAGATTTTTTATTTCAGAGAAATTCCAATTTTAAATAAGTGGCCGTCCCGGAAAAAAATGTCTCCTGTCAATGACGCAATATCCGCGCTATCCTCGGTTTCCGTTCATACTGCCATAGCCATGATGTAACCATGGCGACAGACGTGGACAACTGTGCAGTGCGTAACGTTTAGCGGCACGCGCAGTTCTTGTTTCTTTCAAACATAGACCATGGCAAGCAGACTTTGGGACAAACAAGGAGAACTAAAATGAGGATCAATATCAGCGTGGCGTTTTTGAGATGCCGAGAGCTCCACGTCCGCGACTAACTTGGACTTGACAGAGCTTCACGAGTCACGACTTGACAGCTTTATTAGACAGGTGAGCAAATGTACATAAAACAAATAAATGTTATATAACATTAGCTCAACATGATGAAATGTTAGAATATGGTCAGTATGTTGTTCTAATGTTGATCTAGCTTAACGTTACTGCTAGTTTCGTATAGCAAACGAACTAACACGTAGTATAACATTATAACTTTCAACACACATTTAAATGCCGTTTAGTGTGATAGTGTAACGTTAGACCAAGTGAAGCAGCGCTGCGTTACCTCACAAGTTTAATTCGTCTAATAAACTGACCTGTGTGAGTAATCCAGCACTTGCGAGTAGTTCGGTAGAATTAAATGTCCTTATTCCTTTATATCCGCGGGACTCGCGTGTGATATCTGTCTCTTTAGCAATCGTGACCTGCTTCATACCACTGTAATGTTAAAAAGCATGAATGTTTGCACTCATCCATAAACATTATTAGATCCATCAGCTTGACAGCAAGTCCCATCATTCAGCTCATCACTGCGTCATAAACCTACGCCTTTGTTATTGTTGGAAACTGCACCCTCCACGAAAAAAACCTACATATTGTGCCTTTAATGTAAAGCCTAGCTAGCTGACGTGAAAGGGCTAAGTTATATTTTTCTTTTCGTTTTGCAACCCTGTGTTGAAAATGACAAATTAATGACCTAAACCTACACCTAGCTTTCATGGAAACCCCAGAAACTGGTTTTGACGGCTGCTGTTCTTTACTGTATGTTTATTATAATCCATGCATGGTCCAGTTATCTTCATGGTTCTTGGGCCAGTGGTATCTACCTTGCACCCATGTTATGCATTCAATGTTTACTTGTTCAACGTTCACTGTTTTACTAACACTATATGAAAGTGAGTAAATTGAGACAGGTAAAAAAGGCTTATTTTAGACTTAGATTACAGTATTGTGTATGATGCCATTGATAACCTGACATGATTGAGCCTATTCCCATACCTACTACTTACCTGATCAGCCTGCTCTCACCTTTCTCATTTTCTGTGTTGTTAGTAGTGTCCTAAATGTGAAATGACAAACATTTTGTTTTAATGTGTAGATTGTCTTTGAGGACTGCTCGCCAGTGAACAATTAAGTGGCAGAGTGTTACTGTGTGGCTGGAACAGCACTCTGTAACCACAATGTTGCACTGCTGTTCCAGACCGCGCTCTACTCCACACTGAACCCGGCTGCTGTTCCCCCGTCCTTAGCTGCACTGAAACAGAGCAGCGCTGGCACAAGCCAAGAACCATGGTAAGTATGTGTTCACAACTACATGAAAAAATACTATAGTATTTACTATAGTAAATTGTATTATACTGTATATATTATAGTTTTTACAGCACTTTGTTAATGAATGCTACAGCATACTGTAGTGTTAACTATAGTGAATTGATAAACTAATACATACTGTAGTATACTTTAGTTTTTACTACAGTAAACTGTAGTGTTTTGTAGTATAATATACCCTATAGTTGTAGAAAACTTAGTACAGAATATGGTAAAGTATTTTGTTTATATTACTATAGTTGTTATATTACCACACCAAATTAATTCATGTACTTTACTATAGTAGTGTTTCATGTGTGAAGAGCTGATGTAGTATGTTGCATCAACCACCATTTAAATTAATTTGATAATTCTTTTGTGTAATTAATAGGGCGTGAAACCAGGCAGAGTGAGTGATATGGTGTTCATTTCCACTAAAGGCTGATTTATACTTCTGCGTCGGACCTACGCCGGAGCCTCTACACTGTAGACTACACG